ATCACCATACATTACATCATTAGTTTTTGATGTAGTGTTCCATGATTCATTGTTTGCGTATAACACCCAGTGCTCCATTCAGTACGTGCCCTCTTTAACACCCATCACCAGGCTAACCCCTCCCCCCACCCCCTCCCCTCTAGAACCCTCAGTTTGTTTCTCAGAGTCCATCGTCTCTCATGGTTCGTCTACCCTCCGATTTCCCCCCCTTCATTTTTCCCTTCCTACTACCTTTTTTTTTTTAACATATAATGTATTGTTTCAGAGGTACAGTTCTGTGATTCAACAGTCTTACACAATTCACAGCGCTCACCATAGCACATACCCTCCCCAATGTCTATCACCCAGCCACCCCATGCCTCCCACCCCCCACCACTCCAGCAACCCTCAGTTTGTTTCCTGAGATTAAGAATTCCTCATATCAGTGAGATCATATGATACATGTCTTTCTCTGACTGACTTATTTCACTCAGCGTAATACCCTCCAATTCCATCCACATCATTGCAAATGGCAAGATTTCATTCCTTTTGATGGCTGCATAATATTCCATTATTTATATATATATACCACACCTTCTTTATCCATTCATCTGTCGATGGACACCTTGGCTCTTTCCATAGTTTGGCTATTGTGGACATTGCTGCTATAAACATCGGGGTGCATGTACCCCTTCAGATCCCTACATTTGTATCTTTGGGGTAAATACCCAGTAGTGCAATTGCTGGGTCGTATGGTAGCTCTATTTTCAACTTTTTGAGGAACCTCCATACTGTTTTCCAGAATGGCTGCACCAGCTTGCATTCCCACCAACAGTGTAGGAGGGTTCCCCTTTCTCCGCATCCCCGCCAACATCTGTCATTTCCTGACTTGTTAATTTTAGCCATTCTAACTGGTGTGGGTGGTATCTCATTGAGGTTTTGATTTGGATTTCCCTGATGCCAAGTGATGTTGAGCACTTTTTCATGAGTCTGTTGGCCATTTGGATGTCTTCTTTGGAAAAATGTCTGTTCATGTCTTCTGCCCATTTCTTGATTGGATCATTTGTTCCTTGGGTGTTGAGTTTGATAAGTTCTTTATAGATTTTGGATACTAGCCCTTTATCTGATATGTCATTTGCAAATATCTTCTCCCATTCTGTCGGTTGTCTTTTGGTTTTGTTGACTGTTTCTTTTGCTGTGCAAAAGCTTTTTATCTTGATGAAATCCCAATAGAAATATAATGCTTTTTTAATTAAGCCAGTTGATTTTATAATAATAAATGTCCATGTTTTTAAACACACACACAAAAAACTGTCTTTAGGGGATTGTAAAATACTAAGAAGGAAGAATTTATGTATAAAGATAACTACAGCTGGGGCACCTGGGTGGCTCAGTCAGTTAAGCATCTGCCTTCGGCTCAGGTCATGATCCCAAGGACCTGGAATCGAACCCTGCATCAGGATCCCTGCTCGGGAGGAAGCCTGCTTCTCCCTCTGCTGCTCCCCCTTCTTGCGCTCTCCCTCTCTCTCTCTCTCTGTGTCAAATAAATAAATAAAATCTTAAAAAAAAAGATAACTACAGGACTGGATGGAATATGATCCGATGTCACTCTGGATTTAGTGCTGTGTGAGTTCACAGGCAGAGAAGAGTGGGATGAAGCAGTAGAAAAGGTTTTGAACTGAGCCTTAAAGAATCTCCAGAAGTTAGGCTTCAAGGAGCCAGGGAGGTAGCGTAGTTAATAAATACAACATAGATATGGAAATGAAACATATTTGGGGGAACAGAAAACAAGTCAACCTGACGGTCCAAGGATTTTATTGGACAGTATGACAGCATAACTGCATAGTGAATTACGCTCAAGTGAAATGATTAAATAGTCATTAATTTAATTAAAACATGATGCTAATTAACTTAGAATGGATCTAAGAGGCAAAGGAACCCGGGGCAGTTTCTCACCAGAGGAGAGAGTTTCATTTTAAATTGCTAAGCCTCTTGTATACTCAGACGAGCTTATGTCTATATATTTTGGAATCTGTATGTATTTTAGCTTCAGACACACAAAAATACTGACATCTAATCTCAGAGCTGTTGGTTGGAATTACCTTTAAAAGAAAGTGACCTAGAATTCATTAAACTATCACCTTAATATCTGTAAAAATTGTGGAGTCTTATCCAATAGGAAATATATGGGGAAAAAAAGTGCAGGATAACATCAAGTTCAGAAGTCTTTATACTTAGAAGGAAATATATTTAAATATCTTTGGAGCTAAAGAATAATGAAAGTCCATCAAGTGGCATAACAGCCTAGCTGAGGGCGGCAGATTTTCATGAGTAGGTGGAAAAGACAGATAATTTTAAGGGGGACTCCAGCTCAGGATGGTGCCTTCCCTGTGCTTTAAAAGGCCAAGAGACAGCTTGTGTGGAGAGTCTGATAGAGTGACCATAAATAACAGGATTCAGCATGTGCCATTAGGCTCACCGTCAAGAATCCTGTTCCATTCAGTATCTGGGTCCAAGAGCTCAAGGAGCAGACTAGGTATTTCCCAACATTGCCGGTCATAAATAAATCACTTCCTTAACAGTAAGCCTATTTTATCGTGGGAAGAGTTACAATTAAGTACAGTAATGTTTAAGAGAATCAAACTCATAATGATATTTTTGTGTTAAGAAATTATACATGTGTAGCATTTTAGCTATCTATAATTTTGAAAATAATTTTGTCTATGTTGATTAGTCTTGTAGGTCTAATTTATAAATGTTTAATTGAGTAACAGATTTAGGCTTGTGATTTTAAGTTGAAATCTCACTAAGTTTACACACTGTAGCAAAACATTTAAGAGCACTTACGCTTTGGGACCACTGCGTGGCTCAGTCAGGTAGGCCTCTAACTCTTGATTTCAGCTCAGGTCATGATCTCAGGGATAATGGTCATGACCCAACCTCCCATTTCAACAATGAGCTGGAAGGTAATGTAGTTGAGGCTGCACTGAGCATTTCCCAAGCAAAGGAGACTGGAAGTTACAGAAATCACTGAAGAGTTGGTGTCCTATCAACAGCCAATGTTGATACTGGGCTGAGTTATGTAAGAGTTTCTTTACTTTGTTTATGGCAAATGAAGCATGAGATACCCACAAAAGGAAGTTTGGCAAAAACTCAGGAATTGAGACCCCAGGGTTTTGGAAGAGTTGAGATAAAATACAAATAAAAATAAGGAAGGGCACCCTCTCCCACTCCTTCCTTGGTGAAGGCTTCCATAAATTACAACAATGCTATTCAAATTTATTGTTCATTTCAGGGACTAGAGGCAGACAGCCTCAGACTGTGGCTTTAGACCTGAACCAAATGTTCCTTCACTGAGAACTCACTGAGTTGCATCTCACTTGCATTCTTTCCATCCAGAGACTGGAGGAACGGATGTTTCTGCTTTCTCATAAAGACTGCTAGAATATTTGCACTTATATCAGTTTTCAAAATTCCAGCCCTGATCTGGTTTCGGCTTATTATTCTGAGTCCCTACTCAGGCCTACGTACCAGCAATGCCATTTTCATGAACTGCAGCTGACAGCTCAGTCTTTTGAAACACAACTTGCCAAAGTTATAGAAGCTTGCTGGACTAGAAAAGATATGGGACATGCATGGGGCAGAATGCCATAATCACATGCCGACATCACAGGCATGGGGGCATTTCATATGCCAGAAGTGCACTCAGGTTTATCATATTATTCAAATAGAGGCCTATATTATTCAAATAGGTGGCTTTAGGCACCCACATCAGTTTTTTCCAACCCTTATATAAAAAAAAAAAAAAAAAGAATGTGTCTAGTTCTTTGGCCTAAAAAATCTACTCACTTCCCTCTCCAGTATCACTGTGATAATACCAGACTGGGTTAGGCTTCTGGATTTGTGAGCGCTTCTGCAATGCCATGGAGCTTCAGGATTTAATTGCCCACATTTCACCTCCAGCTGCCCATGAGGCTGCTTCCTTTCTTCTATAGTCAATCAGCCCTCGAGGATTCCTGAAGCCCTCCTTACCCTTGCTGTCACGACAGAGACAGGCCCTTCCGACTAACATGGTACTAAATCAGCTGTCATTGGCTTCACTTTGTCTCAGAGATTCTAGATTCATAAAATGTGACAGCCAGAGAGTGCCTCATCCAGTTCAATTCCCTTACTTTAGAGAGGACATGGTGATTGCTAAAGTCCTGGAGGATGGTTAATTGTAGAGCCAGAATTAGAAATAAGATTTCTTGACTCTCCACTAAGTGTTACTTAGTGTGAGACTAGGTAAGAGCTCTCACTTTTTACCCAGGTAATCCATAAAATACTTTTCCTTATTTTAACCCCTCCATTATTTCAGCAGAGGGGACAGTATGGTGGCCATCCTATGCTGTGGTGAAGACTTTTTACTCTATAGATGACATCATAACTCCCCCTTCCCAATCTCTCATGGCTTTGCATCCATGTGTCCTAGGGATCATTTCTTTGTCTTCTCTAAAAGACTGCACAACTCAGGACGACTGCTGGCTTACTTTTCTCAGGGGACAACTCAGGGGACAACTCAGGTACTTTTCTCAGGGGACAACTCAGGTACAACTCAGAAGGAGATGTCTCACAAAAAGGAATTTGTCACACTGCTCCTTCTTCATGATGCAAGGGTGAGGTGCAGTTGAATTAAAAAAAACATATGAGTGAAACCATATGATAATTGTCTTTCTCTGATTGACTTATTTCACTTAGCATAATACCCTCCAGTTCCAACCACATTGATGTAAACGGTAAGTATTCATCCTTCCTGATGGCTAATATTCCATTGTATATATGTACCACATCTTTATCCATTCATCTGTCGATGGACATCTTGGCTCTTTCCACAGTTTGGCTATTGTGGACATTGCTGCTAAAAACAGCACAGAAGATCATAGAGGAAGGGAGGGAAAACCAAATGGGAAGTCATCAGAGAGAAAGACAAACCATGAGAGACTCTTTTTTTTTTTTTTTTTTAAGATTTTATTTATTTGACAGAGAGAGATACAGCGAGAGAGGGAACACAAGAAGCGGGAGTGGGAGAGGGAGAAGCAGCCTTCCCGCGGAGCAGGGAGCCTGATGTGGGGCTCGATCCCAGGACCCTGGGACCATGACCTGAGCCGAAGGCAGACGCTTAATGACTGAGCCACCCAGGCGCCCCACCATGAGAGACTCTTAACTACAGGAAACAAACTGAGGGTTGCTGGAGGGGAGGTAGGTGGGGGGATGGGATAACTGGGTGATGAGCATTAAGGAGGGCATGTGATGTGATGAGCACTGGGTGTTACATGCAATTGATGAATTATTGAACTCTACATCTGAAACGAATGATGTACTATATGTTGGCTAATTGAATGTAAATAAAGAAAGAAAACAAATAATGAAAATGTAAAACAAAACAAAACAACAACAACAAAAAAACTTGAGGTGTCTGTACCAAGGTTTTTGCATTCATTTATTTCTCATTGCAGCAACAAGATAAACAAGTGTAATTCGATGTTTAATGAGTTACAAATGGTAGTAAGCCCAGACACCTTGAGCATATGTATAAGGCAAATAAAACATTTTTCTTAGCATGGATGTTAACTTTAAATGATCTGGGAATAGTTGCTCCAGGCCCCAAATACCATGACTGATGTGCAAAATGCATTTATCACCCAAAGTACTTACAAACCTAAAAATAAAATATTTGAATTCAAATACTTAAACCAAATTGGAAATACAAACAATATACCAAGAATCATCCTCAGCCGCCTGTTCTCCAAGCAAAAGGTCAAAAAACAAAACCATGAACAAAAATAATCCAAAAAAGAGAAGTTCATCCAGAAAGACTAAATGCCCATCAAAATCACATCTCTTCTTCTGATTCTTGTTCTCGTTCAACATTTTTCAGGAGTCCAACTTCTGAAGGGCAGAACCTCTGAAGTCGAGATTTAACCAACCTGAGGAGAATGAAAGGCATCTCGCGTTATGCTGTTTAATAAAAACCCAGAACAACGTGTATCTATAATTCAACAAACTCCGAATTATCTGTGCAAATGGGAGAGGCAATCCAAAAAAAGAAAATCACTTTTATTTGGCTTTGGAACTACCTGAAAAATTTTTGTGGATTAAAGCAGAGTATAAGTATACAGATACAATACAATTTTTAAATGTATAACATGATTGTTTAATTAGGCATCAGAGAATGCCTAATTATTCATAGCTTTGATCATTTCTAAAACAAACAAGAGAATCTCTGGGCTGCAGCAAGCCCAGATGAAACCGAGCTCAGCCTAGAGCTTTTCCATCAAGTCCACACCTAGCTATGTATTGCAAAAAGGAGCCCTCTCTTGTAAAGGAAGTGCATAAAGGCATCTCCTTCCCCGTGTCAAGCCCCATGTCAAGCCTGTCCCAACTTGTGCCTTCAGAGGGGTGCTTTTGTGCAGGCCATGAACTGCTCAACTGCATGTGATGGTCCATGTAATGATCCATGATGAAATAAGAAGTTGGAAGAAGTGCCCTCCACCTTTGTGATTATTTTCATAGATTAAGAGATCTGTAGGTCTAGGGATAAGCAGCAATATAATTTTTGATGCTGGAAGATATGAAGATTCTTAGTGGCAGAAACTCAGCAGACTCTCCACTTCCCCGATGTAATAAAAACTAAGCAAAGCTTTTCCTGTGCATGATTATTCATAAAGACATTGTACTATGACTATATTGATAAAATATAGTTAAATTCCAAAAGTACATAGGAATACACAAACAAATTTGATACACCAAATCATCAAAATCATTTTCATTTTGTGAAAAACTTCACCAGTCTATCTGCATCCCCTATTTTCTGCCTCTCTTCTTCCAGTGAAGGCTTGCCCCCATAAATATGCAATGACTTTACTTGTGCTCTGGATCCCACTAGAATAAAAGCTTCATAAGAGCAAAGACCTTATCTTATTTAGTGCCTTAATGCTAGCCAGAGTCTAGAACAGCATCTGGTGCATAACAGTGGCTCAACACACATCTGATGAATCAATGTCCTTCAGAGCAATCTGCCAGGAGCCCATATCACTCACTTATTTGTAGAGGTTAATTCTTCAGTCACTTTCAACTCAGCATTAACTCCTCCAATATACAACAACTGAGTAGTACCAATAACAACTACTGACTCATCAAGATCAAGGAAACCAATCAAAATAATTTGCCTTGATTATTGACTATTGATGTTGATCCCAATGTCCTCAGCTCTTCAAGGCATTATTCTTGCAAAAGGCTAATAGGCTTAAATAATTTAAAGCCTGGGACAGTGTTTGTGTCATATTTTAGATCCACACAGTTATCTCTACATTGCACAACCTCAATACATGCTAAATGAAATGGATTAACTGTTAATTCATTATTTAGATTCATTCCTGATGGCTCATGTGGAAAATAAAACAAACACATGGCTACTTATTATAAATTAATTATTAACCCAGACCCTAGTGACTCTTCCTGTTTCCCACTCCTCTTTCCTGGGCTGTGTCTGCTGTTTCTACAAGCTACCCAGCTGAGGCATGTTCAGGCTCTATCTGCACAGGTAGATAGCCCTAGGTATTGGCACATGCATAAATGGGCGCTGGAGACAGATTAAAGGCTGGAATGATAAAGAAGTGCAAATAATTGCTAGTTCCTGGAATGATGTTTGTCCAGGATACTAAGGTTAGGATGTGTCTGAGGTTTTGCTCTCATAGGTTTTCTTCGATTAATAAGAAAAAGAGCAGAACTGAGACTCTGGGTGTACTTCCACAGTCCATCTGGAAATCAAACTTCCAGAAGGCAAACCTCATTTTCCTGGAATTTGGTCATCTCTATTTTGTTCTTCAAAATGAGTCACCTGAATTATTGCTTAGGAAACCAACCTGAAAGTGGGCATATTTCTCGACCCATAGAGAGGGGCTTTTGAAATAATTCTATAAATAGTGGTATTTAAATATGAAATACAGTAGAATATCTAATAAAATTTCCAAACAGATAAGTCTCTCCTATGAATGTCATTTCAGAACTGCAGGTATGGGTCTGAATGAGGCAATCTTTGAACCATTATTCTGGAAATTTATAAGGCTGATTGAGGCAATCTTTGCACCATTATTCTGGAAAGCTGGGAAGTAGAACTTCACTTTTCTGAGATTTGGGGGGTTGTGGTTCCATAACCTAGTTTTGTTTCCATGGTGATCTTTGCACTTTGTCAAACATATTCTGACATAATGTCCTGAAAATCCATCACCTGTGACTGAATTACAAACTACTCCAGTCAAACCCTGAAAAATAGATTGTCAAAACTCCTTATGATTATAGAACTGAATTAGCCTGCCATGTGACCTCACTGAAAGTCAGTACTGAATCTTCATGACATTTTTTAAGCTATTGCTTAAGTTTATATCAACATACCTCACATCATGAGCTCTTGTTCTTATACTTCCAAGAGCACTATGAGAGCAAGACTGGAAAGCATCTGAAACATGATTTCCAAACAAACAAAGCGCATATTCATGTAACTCTGAAGCAGATCTATTAAAACACACCTGACGGCATGCCAGGAGCTGTGCAAATATAAAAAGGGTATTTTCCTAAGGGTGATACAATCTAGCTAGCAGATCAGGCTGACGTAAGCTAATAGTAAAGATAGATTGCAATTGCTAAAATGGGTAGTAGTGACTAAAGTACTATACAAACTCCTGAAGGGAGATGAGGGCTAGAATTGTCACAGAAGTTTTCATAGAGGAGATGGGCATTTAATTTGGATATGCCAAGTAGAGTGGACTAAGTGGCCCAAAAGGTAAAGGTTGAAAAAGACATCTAGAAAACTGTAAGTGGATAAGAGAGGTCTGAAGCTTTTTGAAACAGGAAGAGACAGTAGTCTTCTTTTGGCTCTGGAAGGGAGCTGATGTGAGCTAGAGAGGCTCCTTGAATGTTGCCATTATTCTCGGAGGTTGCCCAGCCCCTAAGGAGGTGAGGCCCAGATGTCAGCCTAGAACAACAGAGGAAGAAACCAAGTTTCACTCAGTGGCAGAGCCAGTCTTAACAGCCATCTGCATGCTTTGGAGGAATGAAATAGGACTAATAGAAATCAATGAGAAGCTAGAATCTCCCAGTACCCAAAGCACTTAGACCCCTAGAAGGAGGTAACTACAGATCAAAGTAAGCTGACCCAAAGCCTAGCAGAGACATCAGGAGCTAGACAAGGAAATCGTTCTCTTACTCAGAGACCCAGCACCAAAGCTGCTTCAGCAGTGAAGCTCAGAGAAGCACAAAACAAGAGAGAAGAGTAGAAAGCTAGTTTTTGAAGAGGATGAGACCCCACTGGGCCTAGAAGCAGCTACCATATTTTAGAAGTCTAGAGAACCTACTAGATGCATACTGCCCAATATGGTAGTCACTATACATTTACAGATATTTAAATTAATTAAAATTAATGTGGCACTAGGCACATGTCAAGTGCTCAATAACCATATAGTCAAGTAGCTCATGGCCACCAAAATGAAGCCTGCAGATATAGAACATTTAGGTAAATACTGAAGTCTGAAGAATTAAGTGTGGAGCCTGCATGCCTAGTAGTTGGGACCAGCCAGACCCACTGTGGTTTGGTATTAGCTACCTTAAAGACAGGAACCATGTTCAGCTCTTTCTATTCCTTTTGATCCTTCAAGCTGAAGCTTAATTCTCAACTGCGAGGAAGCCTCCTCTGGGCTCCAATAGTGCTTTGTTCTACTATTTCCAACTATTGCATTGTATTTCAATTGTTTATCTCTCCCCCTTAGGGTCTATACCTTATGCATTTTGTGATACAGAAGAAGGAGGAGGAGGAGGAGAACAAGAAAACTAACAAGAAGAAGAAGAAGAAGAAGAAGAACTTCCGCTGTGCCTTTATTATGTCCTAAACAGTTTAAATACATATCTCATTTAGGTACTATTATTATTCCCTTTTTGTAAACAATAAAACTGAGACTTAATGTGGTTACATAATTTGCCCAAAGACATACAGCTGATAGGTAGCAGAATTAGGAATATGTGTTTTATCAATCTGTTATATTGCTCTTCATCTACTGTGAAACATTGTATCAGGGTCTAAAAACATGATTTTTCAACTGAATCTTACTTTTAGAAATATTAGAGTAAATGTCAAATTAATCATATACTCAAATTTAAGGGGAGACATAAATATTGGTCAAAAAATGACACCAAGCTTGTGAATTGCTATGATTGATGTACATGTGGGCAAATGAAGGGCTCATTGCAAGTATGGAGAGGACCATCTGGAAAAGGAGACAGCATATGCAAAGACATGAAGGCACAGAAAAGGGTGTTGAAGGGTGACACATAGGTTAGAGACACAGCTGAGACACTGTTGAGGGAGTCTAACTTTAAGCCAGCATTTATCCTTTCGAGGGGGACTTTCTGGGTTTGCAGATAATTTTCTGCTACATTACCCTGTCTTGTGGAATACTAAGGAATGAAGTTCCTCTTTGAATTTAAAGTTCAATACTTTCGAGTCTTGATGATCAGATACCAAGGAAGAGAACTTATGTGAACAAAAAATCACTAACTTACCAAGTGACAAAGGCATAAATCATTCCAACGATGATAATGCTTAATGCATAATGCCAACAAAAGCATATGGTAAGAAACATTATGTTGTCATGATCCATTGCATCCCATGCAGGACCTCCACTGGGGGGATAAAGGACAAAACCAATCTGTAATTTAAAACAAAAAGCACATATTAAAATAATCAGCCACATTCCCAAAGATAGTACATTTCAAAATGTTTGGTTCAAAGATTAATCTTAACTAAAGTAACTCCAATTATCTGAAATGCTACAGATAAGACATCAGATAGTATCTACCAGGTCATATTTTTTTAAAAAAAATGTTAAGGACATTGAAGAGAAATTTTCAAAATATGAATAGGAATCATCTCTGTGGTTTAGTGGACTTTCAGAGAATGTGTCAGGTTTCTAAGTTGTGCAGTTTCACACAGTTATTTCAAAATTAGAGTATAAAGAGGTTTTAAAATAAATAAATGTTCACAGCTAACATTATATTCAATGATCAAAGACTGAAAGCTTTGCCCCTAAGATCAGCAACAAGAGGAGGGTGTTGGATTCACCACTTCTATTCACTAGGAATTTCTAGCCAAAAATTAGTCAAGTAAAATAAATAAAAGGTATCCAGATTCTAAAGGAAGAAGTGAAACTATCTATATTCACAGATTATATAATCTTATATATAGAAAATCCTAAAGAATCCACACACAAAAAAACTATTAGAGCTAATCAATGAATTCAGCATACTTGCAGGACACAAAATTAACAAACAAATTCAGTTGTATTTCTATACACATGCAATGAACAACCCAAAAATTGAATTAAGAAAACAATGTTACTTACAATAACACTGAAAAAAATAAAATACTTAGAAATAAATTTAATCAAAGAGGTTCAAGACTTGTACACTGAAAACTACAAAACATTGTTGAAAGAAATCAAAGACCTAAATAAATGGAAATACATCTCATGTTCATGGACTGGATGATTTAATATTGTTAAGATGGCAATAACACCCAAAGAAATCTACAAATTCAGTGCAATCTCTATCAAAATCCCAATGGTCTCCTTAATGCCCATCACCCAGTTACCCCACCCCCCCACCCACCTCCCCTTCCACAACCCTCAGAAGGCACATGATGTGATGAGCACTAGGTGTTATATGCAACTGATGAATCATTGAACACTACATCAAAAACTAATGATGTATGGGGCGCCTGGGTGGCTCAGGCGTTAAGCGTCTGCCTTCGGCTCAGGTCATGATCCCAGGGTCCTGGGATCAAGCCCCACATCCGGCTCCATGCTCTGCGGGAAGCCTGCTTCTCCCTCTCCCACTTCCCCTGCTTGTGTTCCCTCTCTCACTGTGTCTCTGTCAAATAAATAAATAAAACCTTTAAAAAATTAAAATAATAAATAAATAATAAATAAAAAACTAATGATGTAGTATATGCTGGCTAATTGAATTTAAATAAAAAAAAAAATCCCAATGGTCTTTTTTTTACAGAAATGGAAAGCTGACCCTAAAAATCATATGGAATTACCAGGAACCAAGAATAGCCAAAACAACTTTGAAAAATAAAAACAAAGTTTTAAGATGCATGCTTACTGATTTCAAAACTTACTACAAAAATTGCAGTAATCAAAATAGTGTGGTATTGACATAATGATAGAAATATGGATTGATGAAATAGAATTGAGAGTCCAGAAATAAATCTGTATGTCTGTAAAAAATTCATTTTTGACAAGAGTGCCATGGCCATTCAATGGGTAAATAGTAGTCTCATCAACAAATGGTGCTGGTACAATTGGATATCCACATGCAAAAGAATGATTTTGGACCCTTACCTTACACCCCATACAAAAATTAACTCAAAAAAATTAACAACTGAGGGTTGCTGGAGTGGAGGGGAGTGGGAGGGATGGGGTGGCTGGGTGATGGACATTGGGGAGGGTATATAATATGGCGAGTGCTGTGAATTGTGTAAGACTGATGAATCACAGAACTATACCCCTGAAACAAATAATACATTATATGTTAATTAAAAAAAAAAGAAAAAGAAAAAAATATTACTCAACACTTCTACTCCCTAGTTACCACCCAGAAGAAATGAAAACATACACCCACATAAAGCCTTGTAACGTGAATGCTCATTTAAAGCAGCATTATCCATGATACCTCCCAAATGGAAATAACCCAACTGTTTATAACCTGGCAAGTGGAAAATGAAAATGTGCCATATCCATACACTGGAATGCTACAACAATAAAAAGAAGACACTACTGACACATTCTGTGGCATGGACTCAGAATCATTGTGCTAAATGAAACAAGTCAGATGTACAAGATTACTTTTGCACCACTCCATTTATGTGAAATGTTCAGAAAAAGCAAATCACTAGACATAGAAAAGGGACAAGTAGTTGCTAGGGGATGGAGGTGGGAACAGGGAGTGACTGTAACTGGCATGAGTGATCTTTTTGGGATGATGGTGTACAACTCTGTATATTTACTAAAAATCAGTGAATTATACATTTAAGCTGGTGAATTTTATGGTATAGAAATTATACTTTAGTACAGTTGTGTAAAAATAAAAATGACTTATCTTCTGGGGAAGTAAATTCCAAAACAAAGACCTGAGAACAACTAGGCTAAGTCAATGAATGATCATAGATCTTAGATGTATCTTGCCAATACCCTTGAAATGTTTAAAATGCTAATTGATGAGACTATCTACATGGTGATTCTTTGGACAGTTGTTGCTCCTTTGAGTTCAGAGAAGTTTTGTAAGACTATTAAAAAATAGTTCAAGCAAAAAAAAAAAGAAAAAAGGGATCAAAAACTAAATATAAGAACTAAAACCATAATACTCTTAGAAGAAAACATAGGGGGAAAGTTTCATGTCCTGGCATTGGGGATGACTTCTTAAATACTACACCAAAAGTACAATCAACCAAAAAAAAAAAAAAGGTAAATCGGACTTCACCAAAATTAAAAACTTTTGTACATCAAAGGACACTATCAAGAAAATGAAAAAGGAGCCCACAGCATGGGATAAAATACTTGCTGTATCATATATCTGATAAGGAATTAATATCTAGCATGTACAAAGACCTCCTAAAACTCAACAACTAAAAGACAAAAAATAACTATTTTTAAATGAACAACGGAGTTGAAGAGATATTCCTCCAAAGATGGTATACAAATGGTAAATAAACTCATGAAAAGATGAAGAACATTGTTACTTATTAGAGAAATGCAAATCCAAACCATAGGAGATACAACTTCACACCCACTAGGATGGTAAAAATAATAAATAACAAGTGTTAGTAAGAATAAAGAGAAATTGGAATCCTTGTAAATTGCTGGTAGGAATATAAGATGGTGCAGTCACTGTGGAAAACAATTGGACAGTTCTTCAAAAAGTTAAATGCAGCTTTAATTATCACATGACCTGGCAATGTCATTCCTGAGTATATACCCAAAAGAACTGAAAACAAGTATTCAAACAAAAACTTGTAAACAAATGTTCATAGAAGCATTATTCACAATAGTCAAAAGTTGAAAACAACCCAAATGTCTGTCAACTGATGATGAATAAACAAAATGTGGTATACCAATACAATGGACTATTGAACCATAAAGTCATGATGCACTAATGCATGACACAATATAGATGAATCTTATAAACATTATGTTAAGGGAAAGAGGGCAGACACAAAAGGTCCCATACTGTCTGATTCTGTTTACATGAAATATTCAGAATAACTAAATTCATAGAAACAAAAAACAAATTAGTGGTTATCAGGGGCTAAGAGGAGAGTAAAAGAGAATGATTGCATCAGGGTTCCAGGGTTTCCTTCTGGGGTGATGAAAAGGTTTCAGAACTGAATAGCAGTGATAGTTGCATAATATAGTGAATGTACTTAAATGGCACTGAATTATATACTCTAAAACAGTTAATTGTGTTATGTAAATTTTATCCTAACAAAAAACAAAAAGAGAACGAGAGAGAGAGATGGATGAATGATGGACAGATGGGGGGATGGGGGATGGACATATGTCAGGTCTCTAGAACTAAATGAAATACAATACCAAGATAATTACATGGACAATGTATGAATGTCCACCATATATTAGCTAATTATATGTCAGTTACAGTGCTTGGGAGTGTTCCTTACAATGGCCCTTAAATGATGTATTATTATCCCATTTTAATGTATTATTATCCCATTTTAACATATTGTCTTCATCTCTGGATGAGAAAATTGGGTGGTTTCATAATTTGCCTGGAATCGCACATCTAATAAATGAAATCTAACAGGAACAAGAAAAAAGCATTTAGTCCATAGTACTGAGTGAAACTTTAATACCATTTGTTTGAAATTTCTAATAACCTGAGTAAATTGGGAAAAAACAAGACTTGGGCCTTAATCACTTGTTCCCATTTCCCATTCTAAAGAATTCCCTTTGGTTGGAAAGAGAACTACCATTTGTACCACCCAGTAGATGTATCACTAGGTGTGGGGCACCTTAACTTCATTCATGCACATAAACTTCACCATAATTCTAAGTCCTCATAATAACCGCAAGAATAAGCCATTATCCCCATTCTTCTCATGCCCTACTTTTGCAGCAACTCATGAAAGATGACAAAAAAAATTGTGTCAAGTGAGTATCTTTTAGGGAGAGTTGAGTGTAATAAATTATGGACCAGCTCCCCAGTTCCTACCTATTGGTCCCATCAATGTCCTTCCAATGCCATCCACCCATCTATCCTTGCTTGGGCAGTGTTTTGCTACAGCTCCCTGAGGTAAGGGTTAGCAGTTGTGGCTTATAATGTGTACCTCCAAAAGGATATGTTGATGTCCTAACACTTGGTGCCCATGAATGTGACCTTATTTGGAAATAATGTCTTTGCTGATGTCATCAACTTGAGATGAGGTCATAGTGGATTAGAATTGGCCCAAATCCAATGACTAGTGTCCTTATTATGGAAGGCCATGTGAAGACACAGGTACACAGAAACCCACAGGTGTACCTATGGAGGCAGAGGTTGTGGTTATGCTGCCATAAGCCAAGTAATGTCAAGGATTGCTGGCAGCTCTCTAGGAGAGTGGCATAAGACAGATCCTCCCTTTGGGCCCCCAGGAAGGAACCAACATGGTGACCCCTTGATTTCTGGACTTCTGGCCTCCAAAACAGTGAAAGAATAAATTTCTGTTGTTTTAAGTCATCCAACTTGTGGGACTTTGTTATTGGAGCCCTAGGATACTAACACAAGAGCTAAGACCAAAATAAGCAAGGAATATCACTTATCCTAAACCTCAAGTCTGGATACTTTGGTGGCTCTTATCCATCTTTCAAATCCCAACTTAACTTTACCTTCTCCTGGTAAAGCATAGAATAAATAGTGTACACTCATGTGATTAATATGGTAGAACCAGACTTCAGATCCAGGTCTGCCTGACCTAGAGTCTCGTGGACTTCTCCCTCCATGCCATAGTCACAATCGTTTTCTGGAGCTTCCAAAATAAAATATCTCTTAAGTCACCTTCATTGGTCGTTACCAATTCTACCAGCCAAATGTTTACTGTTTTATACCAAGAAAAGAGAAACTTTGAGCACCTCTCACTACTCATCTCCTTGAGACCCTCAGAGCCTGACACTGAAAGCTAAAGACTTAACTGAAGGCCACTGTGAAGCCTATGAACAGTGTTAACTGATGTGATTATTGTGAAAGTCATAGAAACATTCCAAGTCATTTCAGGATAAAAGCAAGTGAATTCGGAAAGCTGAAAAACCAAGGGCCAGAAAATGCCACAACTCATTAAATCTTCCTTGATATATAGAATAAGCCACTACTCTCTCATTAGTTATTCTAATTTGCTTCCTAATGTAAAATTCCAGCCAAACAAAAGGTCTGAAAAAGAATTTTTCTTGCTGTATCGTCTATGCCACTCCTGAACGTCTGTTTTTGAATAGTTTAAGCCTCATTAATATCACATTTAAAATGTAAATAATTATCTTCTCTAATATACAGCAAGCCAGGGGCTCATTTCCTATAGGTTAGAGTTTGAATTTCCTAGTGTTTTAAGTCTTATTTTCCAATCACTTATTTCAACACTATCAGCCTTAAACAAGTGTTTGATCTACCATATCAGACTCAGACCACTACTGCTTAGTTGGGTCTTTTTGACATCTTTGAATGAACTTTTGTCTTTCATAAAGACAAAATAAGGCTGCACTTTACTTCGGGCTCAACAATCTGGGGAGCCATGGGAGTCGTCCCCGGAGCAATTAGTGGGGGAGGGTGATGAAGCAGAAATTACTGTTCAAAGTAATGGGAAACAAAGACAGCAGAAGTGTCTTCTTCCTCCCCTGATGGTCTCTGCCTCAACTCTGACAATGATAGGAGGGAACTTGGAAATGACAAAGTGTGAAAGTGAGCTTTAGAAATATTCTCCCACAGGGGTGACTGGGTGGCTCAGTCGGTTAAGCATCTGACTCTTGATTTCAGCTCAGGTCATGATCCCAGGGCTGTAAGACTGAGCCTTCCATCCCCCTACCACTCCTGGTGGGGGCTCTGTGCTCAGTGGGGAATCTGCTTGAGATTCTCTCTCTCCCTCTCCATCTGCCCCTTCCCCCACTCATTCCCCATCATTTACATATGAGTTATAAAAAAAAGGCCAATCTGAACATTTGCCTCATTCATTTTGCATCTTCTTATTTATAGTTCCAAGAGTCTGGGTGTGCTAATCTGTCTACATATTGTTTATGCACGAGTATTAACCACCTATGGGCAAGTAAAGAGAGAAAAAATATGGTGAAAAGCAAATCACAATGTCATATTATCAACTTAAGACAGAGTTTTGACCATAAACGTTCATATACCACACATAGCACCAAAATAAAAGTGGAATAAATTCACCTACATCTCTAGACATTTTTGTTTCAGAGGAATCTGAGGGTGGAGAGACGTACTACAGTTAAACCTTCATTTCCTGCCAGTGTGTGTGTTTGCATTGGTATTAAATGCTCATTTTTCTTTAAGCCTCCTAACGTTATTTAGTCTAGCCACCAGGTAAAAAAAGAAACTAGTCTAGACATACTGATAGATGGAAAAGATTTTTAAATAGTCACAGATTTATGCCCAAAGATTTTTTTTGTTTTTTTTTTTTAGATTTTATTTATTTATTTGACAGAGAGAGACACAGAGAGAGAGGGAACACAAGCAGGGGGAGTGGGAGAGGGAGAAGCAGGCTTCCCACAGAGCAGGGAGCCCGATGCGGGGCTCGATCCCAGGCCCCTAGGATCATGACCTGAGCCAAAGGCAGACACTTAATGACTGAGCCACCCAGGTGCCCCAATGCCCAAAGATTTTTAACCTCATAGCTCTTTCCTAGAAAAGCTTTTGGTAAAATATAAAAACATTATTTCTCTGCCAAAGCGGACAACATTAGGTCAACATATTCTCAGTTGTGACAGCCCATGTTTCTTCCCTCAGATTCTTAATCATTAATTATTAATGGAACACTAATTAGTTTGAAAATCCCTGCAATAACCTCATCCCAAGTTCCTGCTTTCTGGTGATGAAACATCTCCTCTAAGAGGTCATCCCCTATTAAACCACATTCACCTTTCATCTCAGACTTTCCTTACATCTCTATGTGTATATTAGAGTATGATTTACCAGTCTCTATAAAATATAAGTTCACTAATTGGAATACATGTTTTTGACAACATGCCAAGGTTAGGTAGTCAACAGAGTAAAATGGAAAGAGCCTGGGACTTGGGGTCAGACAGACCCACATTTAGATTCTAGTTCCATTACTGTGTGAGTCTGGGATAGTCATGGGGTCTCGCTGAGTCCTATCAGTAAATTTGGGATGATAATACCTAACTTCCAAGTTACTGTGGGGATATAATGAAACAACATGTATGTAATAGTCCTGTAGAGCGGCTGGCACATTGTTGTTTCTCAGTAATTAATCATTTCCTCTCCTTCCTGCCTTTCATATATTTCTCAAGCTCATCACTCATAAGGATGTAAGCTGCTTTAGCAAAAGCAATGGCTCAGAATTCCTACATTACGGAGATTCAGGTGTGTGAGGAAGATGAACACACCCCATTTCCTTCCCAGCTGCTCTGTCAGTACTCCCCCCAGGGCCTCTGGGCTACTCAAAGCAACATCACCTCTCAAAGACCCACATTCTCTCTACAGGCAGCACTTCAGAAGGAAGTGTCCGATTCTGGATCAAAATACCCCACCAAAGAGAGACGAGTACAGATGGAGACACCAGATCCCTTCACAGGAGGCCTCGACTCACCTGCCAAAACCAGCTCCCCTGAAGCAGGATAAAGCTTGTCCGAGTAAGTTCCACAGTGATACTGGTCCGTACGAAGAGCTCCAAGAAGGCAATCAGGCCTGTCACAAAGATGGCCAAGACCAACAGCTTGTGCACAAAGATGTCCAGCATTTCCCGGCCATGAGTGTGATTATACATGATAAAAGCTGAGAGGGAAAAAATAGTTTCTCTTTTTCAGTGAAACCAAGGGGCATCCACCATTTTTCTCCCTCCCTCTCTCCTCCTCCCTCTCTCTCTCTCTCTTCCCCACCCCACATAATTTTATACTCACACACACACATGCACACACACCAATTTGTCCAAAATATCAAGTGCTCTCTGCTTCCCACAATAATGGAAACTTCTAGCATTTTTGGAGTCATCACTACCTCTTTTATTTTTAAGATTTTATTTATTTATTTGTCAGAGAGAGAGAGAGAGAGTGAGCACAAGCAGAGGGAGAAGTAGGCTCCCTGCTGAGCAAGGAACCCAATGCAGAACTCCATCCCAGCACCCTGGGATCATGACCTGAGCCAAAAGCAGATGCTTAAACGACTGAGCCACCCAGGCGTCCCATCATCACTACCTCTTAAGAATAGAGATCTATCTCTCCTTTTCCCTTTCCCAACCTTTATTTTCTTGTCTAACATATCATGACACTTTCAACTAACTATATTTCAAAGCATCTTCTATAAAGGAGGATGAATAATAAGTGTGATGGGGGCAGGGGAGCAAGAATACACAGATGAATGAGACAAATCCTTGCTTTAAGGAATTCGGTCCATTGGAGTAAGCAAATATATATATACAAATCATAAGAGTGGACTTTGATGGGTATGACAAGATGCTCTGGAAGCTCCCAAAAAATAGTAACTACCTATGTTATTTAATCCCATGAGCAGATTCCAGCTTTATCTTCAACCTTTTCATGTAGATGAGGAGGAAAAGATGTTCACTCAAAATATGGTAACACCCTGAGATACTGAGAATCTTGCTCATGGTTGTTGACGTCCATCTTTTAGCTAGCCTTTGTTCTCAGAAAGGGGTTGGCAAAAGTCCTTATCTTCAGATGGGGGAAGGAAGGTGGACAGTTAGGAAATTACTGCCTCCTGATCCTTTGGGGTTTTTTTAGTTCTATCATCAATCTAATCCTTACAAATACAATAAATGAAAACAAATTACTAAACACCTGTTTTCCCTACATAGTAACAGGGACATCAGCTGAACAAAAAGTGTTTTTCATTAACCTCTCAAAAATAGGACCTCCTCTTTTTAGTGACTGATTTTTTGACCCTACTTCTCATGTAATGGTGCAGTTCCACTATATCAATATGAAAAAAGCTAGTTAGCAGGTTAGTAGGTTGCTGTGAGCGGTCTCCTTGTTTCAGGATACTCATGCTTCACTACCCTGAGCTCAGTTTCACTTGTTAAAAATGGAAATCATGATTCTCTCCAGGATAACCTAGAGATAAATAACCATGGTAGGTGGTTATTTAAGAATGATGTGAGGGCGCCTGGGTGGCTCAGTCGTTAAGCGTCTGCCTTCGGCTCAGGTCATGATCCCAGGGTCCTGGGATCGAGCCCCGCATCGGGCTCCCTGCTCGGCAGGAAGTCTGCTTCTCGCTCTCCCACTCCCCCTGCTTGTGTTCCTGCTCTCGCTATCTCTCTGTCAAATAAATAAATAAAATCTTTAAAAAAAAAAAAAAGAATGATGTGAAATGTGAATAAAGCACATCAAAGGATGGTGCTTGTCCCGGTTTACTGTATAAGTCAGTAGGGAGGGAAAATCCTTGGTGTCCTATGCAGGACATCTGATTATCTCCCCGTGGCCCAAACAAATGGCCCAACTGATCAAGGCGGCACCAGGACACTAAAGGAATATTATTGCACAGGGCTAGACAAGTGTGCAAGGATAGTGAAAGGTACGGGAACATACTCACTTATACTTACCCTCCACAAATAAGGCATTTGACAACATTAACTTGGTTAAGGAGGCAGGAAGCGAACTGATGAGAAAGCATAAGATGTTTGTCACACCCAGCAGCCCAAAGAAGAAATACATGGTGAAATGGTGCCAGTTCAGGAGGTCGACCCACTGGCCCTCTTTATAGTCATATAAGGCCAAATGGGGCCCTCCAGTGATAAATTGCTCCCCAAGCATGCCTGCAAAGGAACATATCACAGTTTTAATAACCCTCCCCACAACTTCGTGAAGAAAGCAGGAAGACACAGGATTAACCCAGGCCTTAGTCTAATCTAATGTCCTTCTGCGATGCTGATTCTTCTCTCTGGGCTGTTGCCTAACAGCTAAGTACTGGGGCTTTAGGCTGGTTTTAGAGGTTCAAATACTGGTTTGGATGATCAACTTTTAGTCAAAGATAAGCCAATTTAGTCAAACATCTAGTTATTTCAGATCATCAAAGCTGATCATTTCAGTTCTTCATAGTTCCCTGATCAGTTCCACTGATGGTCTTAGTTCCCATTTTCATCTAATGACTAGATAAATCCTACAGAGGCTGTTTACTTCCTTCTGACACATCCTGCATCTCTGGTTGGCTGCCAAGAAGTAGCGAGTTGTGCTTGATTCAGAATCAAAATACTAGAGTTCAGCTTTTCCCCAAGTCAAGTTTACAGAAAACACAGATTACAGCACCTGGTCTAGTCAGTTATAGAAACAGTAAAACCTTCTTTAAAATTCTGCTTTATGTGTCAATCTATGGAATTTGGCAAGGCAATCCCTCTTTTTGGAAATGGTTGCTCTGTAATTTCATGTCCACAGCAAAGACCAATTGCCATGAATAAAGCAGGAGTAAATCCAAAGGGAAATGAGAAAGTTCTGCCTTTCACAAAGGAGAGGCTACAGTGGAATTCTAAAACCACAGAAAATTTTCACAGAATCTTATAGTCAATGAAAAGGCCTTAGAAGTCATCTGGCCTAACTTCCCTTTTCAATTTAGGAATCACACAAAAAGGATGAGTGCATAAAGCAAGGTCTTCTTCAGCCTGACCCCTCTGTACAGTCCATCAGCAACAACTTATGACTGAGGCTTTCCCACAATAACTTGATTATTTTGGCATCATTTTGAGAAATGGCTTCTGATAGAGTTTCCTCTTTCAGGCATCAGAATAAATGACATAAAATTATTTCAAGGTTCCAACTAATTCAATAAAGGAAATTCACCTTGAGTGGGCAGGCAAGTTAATATCCATCACTGACTCATTAAGGAATAGGCCTTTGTATAAACATGAAGTGTCACCTTCTAACAAATTATATCAGATAGAAATTACAATTAGAATATGTGTTCAGAGATATTTTTTAATAAAAATTCATTTTAGTGATTTCTTGATTTGGTATTTAATTTTCTCTTTGCATGTAGAAATACCCAAAAGGAGAAAACAGAACACAGAAGTGGTCCACTCACCAGTGATAGCCATGCTGACTAACGCGATTCCCTCAAAAATTTCTATTCGATGGAATAATGCTTTGGAGCCAATGTAGGAAGTCCGCTTGTGCTTTTTGCAGGCATATTTCAGAACGCACCTGGTGGTCCACCAGATACCCATGATAATGAAGAAGGTTCCGGGGAGGGCATGACCTTTGAAATTCCCCATGTCTACCAAGATTAGAACATACAGAGGATGAAGACATTTTGTTTCCAGAACTTAGCCGAAACATCACTCATTCTCATAAAATACACTATTTTCTGATGATTATGGATATACCATTGATTTAAGAGGAGTCGATGTTACTGTCAATCACTGCAATATTAACAACACCAAGAAGAAAAAAATTCATATTCATTGAAAACTTACCTTGTGCTAGGCACTATGTCAAATGTTTTACACACAATCTCTACCCTAATTTTTACAACATACCCATTTTCAGTTGGGACACAGGGTTAGAGAGTTAAGTGACTTGCCCAAATCTCACAACTATTAAGCAAGAGTTCTGTTGTTTTTAATAGGGAGCTCAAGGATTTCTTAAAATGATAGCATGTGCAACACCATATAGTTACACTTTAAGGATATTTGGAGGAAAAGTAATATGAAAGTTTTACCTGCATGTTTAAAACTTGAAATGATATAAAATTGCCTACAATTTTTTAAGTAAGTAATTTCAAAGTATCAAGCATCGAGTATATAAAAGAGACCATTAGTGCTCATCAAATATTCAAGTGCTTCTCCACAGACTTTTCCCAGCCTCTTCTCCAGGTGATTCAAAACCATGTTTCTAAACAGTATGGAGGTGCCTCAGAAAGTTAAAAATAGAACTACCCTACAACCCTGCAATTGCACTACTAGGTATTTACTGAAAGGATACAAAAATACAGATTCAAAGGGGTCAATGCACCCCGATGTTTATAGCAGCATTATCAACACTAGCCAAACTATGAAAAGAGCCCAAGTGTACCTCAACTAGTGAATGGATAATGAAGATGTGGCATTTTTTTTTATAATGGAGTATTACTCAGATATCAAAGAGAATGAAATCTTGCCATTTGCAATGATGTGGATGGAACTAGAGGGTAAGTTAAATAAGTCAGTCACAGAAAGACAAATACCATATGATTTCACTCATATGTAGAATTTAAGAAACAAAACAGATAAACACAGGGGAAGGGAAGGAAAAATAAAATGAGATAAAAACACAGAGGGAGGCAAACCATAAGAGATTCAACTATAGAGAACAAACTGAGGGTTGCTGGAGGGGAGGTGGGTGGGGGGATGGGCTAAATGGGTGATGGGCATTAAAGAGGGCACTTGTGATGACCACTGGGTGCTGTATGTAAGTGATAAATCACTAAATTCTACTCCTGAGACCAATCTACACTATATGTTAACTAACTTCAATTTAAATAGAAACTTATGAAAAAAATATTTTATCCTACCTAAACAAACAAACAAACAAAAACCATGTTTCTAGTTCTGGTCAATGGACTATGGCATTTGTCATTTCCAGGCTGAATGAGTTAAGAGCCTACATGACTCCTTTAATTCACCTTTCCCCTGCCGTGGCAACCTTGGCATGGCTTATCCAGAACATAGTGGATGGCCAACCAGTCTGCTTCAGATCAATTGTGCTAAGTTATTGAACCTTTAAGGCTTAAAGAGCTTAACCTAGTCTTTTCAGATTGATGCCAAGCCAAATCAAACTGTAAATTGTTTACACAATTGTTACATTTACACAGTGAGACAAATAATAAAAAGATATAGCTTCCATTTTTGGCCAGTGCTATAGAAAATCAGTCTTGAATTATGTGAGCAGCCCTTTGTTCAAATGTCCTGTACCATCAACAGAATAATGAAAAGAGAATGCAGAATCCTCTTTATGAATCTCACAGTAGGCCAGATGTAAGAGCACTGATGAAAGGAGATTTCAGGTTTCCCCTGGCCCAGCAGAGGACTTTATCTCCTTGAGTGGGTACTGGGCATTTCAGTTCAGGGGAGACCCCTTTGGGTGACTTCCACATCCTTCACAACTGTGAAATTTCAAGGGGGAACTGTAAAGTTAACTCAAACAGTAAGAGTCTCTTAAATTTTCAGTCAAGCCCCCAGGTGGACATTTTGGCACACCCCTGAATCATCCAAACCTTCAAATAGAATCTGACTCAATACAGTTGACTCTTGAACAACACAGGGTTGAACTGCTCGGGTCCACTTAGATGCAGATTTTTTTTGTAGTACATACTGGAAATGTATTTTCTCTTCCTTACTATTTTCTTCATAACATATTCTTTCCTCTAGCTTACTTTGTCGTAATAATACTGTATATAATATATGTAGCATACAAATATGTGTTAAGTGATCAGTAAGGCTTCCAGTCAACAGTAGGTTACTGGTTGTTCAGTTTGGGGGGAGTCAAGGGTAATACATGGGTTTTCGACTGTGCAGGGGGTTGGCGCCCCTAACTCCCATGTTGTTCAAGGGTCAATTGTATATCACATAGTACTAAGTGACCATTCTTGTCCTAACTCTGACCCTAATTAGTGCTATGGTTTGGGGCATGTCCCTTAACCTCTCTGAGCCTTAGTTCTTAATAGAAGAAGGAGGTGGCTTAGGTGACACCTGAAGTTCTTTTCTGCTCAAACATTCTGTGATTCGTCATCCTAATCACCATCTGTAGTAGTGTTACTGAGTTCTCCTGTTTGTCTTGGCTTAAGAAGCCACATAGTATTGGAAAATGCTTTTATGTGGGATTGAAAAATACATCCAGACTGTAAATTATTTGTACGTTTCTGGAGAAGAATTTGATATGTTTTAAGAAGCCTTGACGGTTTTATATTCCTTGGTACAGGAAACCCATTTCCAGGAAGCTATCCTAAAGTTATAACTGGAAATACAAGCACCAAATTAAAAAAATACATTGTCTAAATCAGAAGAACGATTTAAAATTTTTTGCAGCCACTTAAAATAAAGTTTTCAAATAACTTAAGTGATAGGGGATGTATTTAGTGAAAAGAACAGCATTTTTCAAACCTGAGAAGGGGCTTTGGATTCAGCTGGACTAGATCTGAATCCCAACTCGACTATTTACTAGCTATGTGACTTGGGCAAATTATTTCACTTCTCAGTGCCTCTGTTTCCTCTTCTGTAAAATGAGACAAAGAAAAATACCTACCTCCTAAAATCAAAACACGTTTCCTCCAAAGCAAATAACCCACAGTAGTTTTAAGCAAGCTCATATTATCCTCAACCCACCTCAAACTACCAAAGTAGAACAAAAGTAAAATCAAATGAGAAATTCTACTTGGACAATTACTGCTGAAAAGCAACAAACATCTATATACTTCCCTTGGCAATCATTCACGTACTGCTTGTAACATTTCTCCTGCTATTGTCTTAGAGGGTTACTGGAATCTTCTGTAGTTATTTAATTCTTTGACTGCATTTAAAGAATAAGCTTCTTGAAAGCAGGGGCCATAAATCTATTCTTTCTACCCCCCCCCCTTTGAACCTGGATAGCATCTTATACACTGTGAAGTTCTAAATTAACAAGAATAACTAAGCCCTTCTTAAAAGATCATATAGTTAGAAAACATCTCTACTCTGATGTCTCAAAGCTCACTCATACTCAACATGCCCACAAATTGAACTAATCATGTTATCTACCCACCCACTACCAGAAAATAATTTTCCCCTAGTCATTGATTTTGTTAACACCACCACCATTCACTTACTTGCCCAAACTCAAAATATGAAAATCATCGTAGAGGCCACCTTGTCTCTGAAAACTAATTGATTATTAAGACCTTATATCAACACTCCCCTACCCCAAATCTGGCTGACTCCCCTTGCTCTTCCAATTTCAACTGCCTAGGGAAATCCTCCCTGATGGCCCAAAGAGAAGGCCCCCTTATACCTTCTCAAGGTACCCAGTTCTTATTTTAATGAATTCTTTGTGTGATTAGTTATTGAAGGTCTGTCCTCTTCATTAGCCTCTATGTCCATCACTATTGAGAGCCTGTGTAGTGGTCATTTAGGGCCTCAGAGGTTAGGAGCCTGGGCTATCCTCCATTTTTTTATGCCCTGATAAATTTAAAAAAGGAAGAAAATGCCAAAACAGAGTTACAGAAACCATGGTTCCTTTTCAATGTTTAGGTTTACCTAATAAATACCTTCACCACAGATGCAAAACATATTGGCTATGTTGGAGCTAACATGAAAATTTAAATTTGGGGCCCTTCCGAAATGTGTGGTTCTGGCCGAATAATCTTCCTGATCCACCTCCATGACGAACATTATAATAGGTTCCTGCTGCCCCAAAAGCTGAGTGAACCAATATACCTCAGCATAGCCATTGGGATGTGATAGGGAGGCAATGGGGAGTAGATGAAAGTTTTTGAAGAGGGATATGAGGTGAACGGAGTAGGGAAAGAAATGAGGCATTGCTCCTACATCAGTTACAGAACTTCTGCATCTTTAGCCTTTTAATCTGAAACAACGTGATGGCTCAATTGTTCTCTGTTTTAAAAAACTCAAACAAAACGAAGTCAAAGCAGGCTTGCTATATTTGCCTGGCTAAGCAACCGAACAGACCCAGTTGCTCCTGGCAATGAAAATGGTATTCATTTTTTTTTTTTTCACTTCCATTGTGGAAAGAAAGAACTGCTCAGATCCTCAAATATCACTTCACTGTGATCTCCTAGAACACCATTATCCATAAATCTATCTTTTGTTTCCTGCTTTACTATTACCTGAGGTTGCAATTTACTGCTCTTAAAAGCCAAGTAGTCCAGAGTTTGATTCAATCCAAATCCAAAGAGCAGACACATTCCCCTTGGAAGAACAACACCGGGCTTTTCTCACCCACAAAGCAAATCATACTTGCCAGACAACCAGCAGAAACCTCAGAAAAATCACCAGAATAGGACACAAAAAAGTCCTTCTTCAATATCCTCCTTGCCTGATCTTGCCACTTAAAATAATCTCATGGGGAAAGTGGTTCATTCAAGCCTGAAATGGTGGGCTGCAAGATTCAGTCACCAGCTTCCAGCTGCAATTTATCCTAAAAATTCATACTCCTCCCCAATCCAAACAAATCCATAAATAAACCCTCTACTCCTAATGACACCAAACATCATCCTCTGGGCTAATGACAAACAATGACTCCTGATACCCTTGTTGGCCTCTTTTTTTCTCACTGTCCTCCAAATTTACACACTCACCCTAAAGGGAAATATTTTTAAACTCTAATACTTAGAGATAATATTGGACAAATCCCAAGATCTAACTTAGGTGTCAAGTGTTAATTCCCAGTGTTACAGTCACATAAACCACAGACCAGACCTGCGCACAAAAAGAGGAGAGAACTTAAAATATCTCACAGAAAGAGATCCTACAGTTTTCTTGGTGGAATCTCAACCAAATACTAATTTCAATATAAAATGAATGCCATGGGGGAAACTTAAATTAAAATTTCATCTTGAGCCACCACCAAAATAAAGTATTCCTAAATCTTAGTGACTCCTTTCAAGGCACATTTATAAATTCCCATACACTAAACAAATTTTAACTATTTCTTGAACTTCACTTTACCATTTGCTTGAACACTCAAAGCAAAATATATACAAGCATTTGTAGCTTTAAAGTTCTCCATCATTCCATACCAGTCATTATCTCCCAAATTTCAACTATTTCAAAAAAGTTTTCTTAGTTAAATTATCCTTACCTTCACACTTTCTTCAATGTCAAGTCCAACTCAATTCTCTTCTTCCAAGAACTTATAATGATTCCAGCTTCAAGAAGGAAAAGCAGATACTGACTGGTCTAAATCTAATTACTCTCTCTCTTTTTTTTTTAAGATTTTATTTATTTGCGAGAGAGAGAATGAGAGACAGAGAGCATGAGAGGGAGGAGGGTCAGAGGGAGAAGCAGACTCCCTGCTGAGCAGGGACCCTGATGTGGGACTCGATCCTGGGACTCCAGGATCATGATCTGAGCCGAAGGCACTCGCTTAACCAACTGAGCCACCCAGGCACCCTAACTACTCTCTTTCTTAGAGACTAAACCAATGTGCTTATGTTTTTCCAGCATGAAGGCAGCAGGTAAACTTTCAGAATATGTCACAATGCCTTCATAAATGTAAATCTTGGGGCCACACCCTTTTGAAATCCTACTTCATGTCCAAACATTGTGCCATAGCTCCCAAGAAGCCTCACCTTGCCACCCACCCACATGACCACTAGGCTCAGACATGTGTCCCTGCTGTGAGAACCAAAGCCCAGTAGAGCATGTGTGATCTTTGCTATCTCTTCCAGGTCATCAAGATGGACAGAAGACAAGCAGAATGGTATGTTAGCAGTAACATACCAGAGCAGGTCCAATAAGTCCTATGAAGGCAAACCATTTCCTAATATGCAGTGCCTCAGGAGAGATCGTCACAGGGGCTAGGGTTGGAGTCATAGCCAAAACCAAAATTACAAGAATAAGAAAAGATGATGGAACAAAATTGCTGCAGATCATCAATGAAGCTCACCTGCCCTCAAGGAATACACAAACTAGTAGAGAGACAAGTGCATTCTAAACCAACATGAGGTGTACACAGAGTGAAATGGGAAGAAGAAGCAGCAGTTTGACTCTAACCTGAAGAGCTAGCAGCTGTTATCCTGTCTGTATACAAGTCTTATTTCCCCTCTCAATTATAAACATGGTGAGCAAGGGCCATATCCTCTATCATGCTTTGCACCCAATTAGCACTCAATAAATCACCAATGAATGATGGGTTTCTTTCTGGAACCCCATCCCCCTGAAACACTGAGCTGGGTGACAACCAGTATCAGAAACAGCGGACGTGGCTAATTAAATGCAGATTCTTGGCACCCACTTCAGATCTACTGAATCAATCATCAGGGGGGAGACCCATGAATCTGCATTTTTAATAAGTGCTCATCAGTTATTTTTTTATATTCTTAAATTTTGTGAACCAAAGGCTTAGGCTATGTGGAGACAAGCAGAATGACACCAAGACACTGAGATTTAAATGTGACTTCCTTATCACTATACCCCAGAGGCCATTTGTCTCCCATCAGTGTCATAAACTCTGATGGGCTTGTTCACATCAGGCTTCATATGGGGCAGAGGTGGTGGCTCAACAGCTGCTCCTGAGACCAGAATGATAATCTGGCTCCAGAAGAAGACAATAACAATACTAGAGCCCTGACATTCTGTTCTGTTTTATTTTATCATACATTATTAAGATATTTTATTTTGTTTTGATCTTTTATACCCCAGCCTCTTACACCCATACCCCTATCAATCTTTAAATACTAGAACCACCCATGTCACATGGGCTATTCTTAACCAAACATCCAGAATGACAAATAGAACTCTACATTTAAAAAAAAAAAAAGACACAGGATGAGCCAATCCAAAGATGTATGTATTAAAAACATAAAACCAACAAACAGAAAATAAGAACAAATGTCATGTTGAATCACCTGCTGTAACGAACTCTTCAAAGTAAATAGAGGCCTGGACTGTTTTTGTTAGTAGTGGAACATCCACTTCACTTCATGCTAATAACTTCTCATGCATCTGTTTATTCTATTTTTGAGACAACTCAAGGAATATTATTATTTCCACCACAGGTATGAGGAAACTGCGACTCCAAGAGATTTACTGACCTACTCTAAGTCACAGAGTTAGTTAAGACCAGAGCCAGGGTTTCAAGGTCCTTATATATGATTCCAAATCTCAGACTATTCCCCTAGAAAAGGGCAAAGACCAGAAGAGGTTTGCGGATGAACCCAACAGTACTCATCAAGTTCTTTGACTAGGTTAAACACCATAAGGAAAGAGTTCCTTCTTCTGGGACTTTCTACCATTGAGTTGTCTGTGCATGTAAAGGAAGTGAAGCTCTGCACGTAATCTGAATATTTATTTACCACTGTTTATAGTCAGAGTCAGCAGGCAGAGGGATGCCAACCAAAAGAAAGCTGGTCTGAGTAATCTACAATGACTTCACTTGACAAAATGAAGATGCTAGAGATAAGTATCAGTGATGTGGTAAGAACCTAAAGAAATCATTCCATGGTTCCCAGCTTCATGCTGCTTCACAATTCAAGTCAATGAACAATTTCTGATTACTACATACATAATTAACAATCTGCTTCAGGTTATTGGGAACTCCATGGTAAGCAAATATACCTATTTTTCATTGCTGCTACAGCTCAGCTGGCAAATGTTCTCCAATTTTAAAGACCCAGATGATTAGACTGGGCCTGCCAGAATAATCTCTTCATTTCAAGGTCATTAAAAAAATCCTTTTTTGCCATGTAAAGTAATTTATTCACATGTTCCAGGAATCAGAAGGTGGTGGTATAAGGACATTATTCTGTCTACAACAGCAACACATACATGTTTACAGTTTGGCAGAACAAAGAAGGCAAAAACATGTGACTATGATACCAAGGAGATGAGCCAAGATTCATGGTAAAGGAATAAACTACTAAAGGTATGCTGAGTCCCTTCATTTGATTTAGAGGAGTAAGAAAGGCATACGGCAGGATCCTGTAAGACTATAAGGACCATTTGAGCTGGACTTTGAAGACTGATTAGGATTTTGAAAGGGGAGCTGAATTGGGGAGGGTATGTGCTATGGTGAGCACTGTGAATTGTCTAAGACTGATGAATCACAGACCTGTACCCCTGAAACAAATAACACATTATATGTTAATAAAAAGAAAAAAGAAAGAAAGGGGGAGCTGCAAGAGAAGAGCACTCTAGACATAAGAAACAAACAGCATGAATAAACTCTTGGTGGCAGAAACTTACAGGAGATATTGAAGCCACTTCTACCATAGGAGTAGAACACAACAGAAAATGCACCTGAAACACCTACATATATGGGAAGTTGGTAAGTGGCAAAAGTAACAATACAAATTACCAATCAGTAAAAAAAATTAATAATGTTTTTACAATTGAGTCTCTAGTAATGAATAAAAATCAAACTAGATCCCTACCTCACACCAGATTAAAAAATAAATTCCAGGGGCGTCTGGGTGGCTCAGTCATTAAGCATCTGCCTTCGGCTCAGGTCATGATCCCAGCGTCCTGAGATCGAGCCCCACATCGGGCTCCTTGCTCTGCAGGGAACCTGCTTCTCCCTCTCCTTCCTGCTTGTACTCTCTCACTGTCTCTCTTCTCTCTCTCTCTCAAATAAATAAAATCTTTAAAATAAATAAATAAATAAATAAATAAATAAATAAATAAATAAATAATAAATTCCAGGTGGATTGAAGACCTAATTGTGAAAATAAAATTTTTAGTAGAAAATATTTGAAAATATCCCCATGACCTTGGGATAGGAAAGAATTTTTTAAGCAAAATACAAAAAAGTAAAGTAATGAAGGACAGAACTGATAAATTTGACCTCTTCAAAAAGTAAAGCTTTTAGGGTGGCTCAGTCGGTTAAGTGTCTGCCTTTAGCTCAGGTCATGATTCCATGGTCCTAGAATTGAGTCCCGCATCGGGCTTCTTGCTCAGTGGGGGGGGCCTGCTTCTCCCTCTGCCTGACACTCCCCCTGCTTATGCTCTTTCTCTCCCCCTCTCTCTCTGACAAATAAATAAATAAAATATTTTTTTAAAAAAAGTAAATCTTTTATATGTGAATGGCAAAGAAGCATAGGAAAAGATGCTCGATATCACTAGTCAATTGGATAATGTTAATTAAAATAACAAATACCAATACTCATCCACCAGAATGGCTAAATTTAAAAAGACTGACAATACTGATGATATTGGCAAGGATGTGGACCAACTGGACCTCTTATGCACTCTAAGTGGGAACACAAAATTGTACAGCCCCATTGAAAAGAAGTTTGTCACTTTTTATAAAGTTAAACATGCACTTATCATTTGACCCAGCAATTCCACTCCTAGGTATTTACCCAACAGAAATTAAAATTATGCCTACACAAAGATTTGTACATGGATGCTCATAGTAGCTTTATTCATAATAACCAAAAACCCAGAAACAGCCCAAATGCCCAGCAACTAGTGAATGCATGAACAAACTGATACATCCCTAACTAAATTTCTTCATCTGTAAAATCAGAGTGATAAAAGTATCTATTTAAGAGGCTTTTGTGAAGATTAAGTAAGTATAATGCAAAGTACTTGAATGGAAACTGGTAAACAAAAATCAATTAATAAATGTTAGCTATTATTTTGACATCTGGAAGTTTTAAGATTCTTCTGTTGTTACACAAAATAGATTTAAATATTTTTTGCTGACAACTTTGTGGATCTACTGTCCCATCCCTGAATACTCCATTTTCATAACTGTTTTATGTGATATGGAAATGAAATTCTATCATGTGTAAAGGCCTCTTTCAGTTTCCCTGCTCCTCCCCTTCAATATGGGCTTTATCCTAATAATCTAAGATAGCTGCCAAAGTTCCAGCCATCACAATCATGTTCCAGGCTGCAGGAGAGAAGAAAGGGCAGAAGGAGTCTCTGTGTCTGCTTTTCAATGAGTTTTATTGAAGTATGATTAAATGCAGTAAAATTCACCTCTAAATTTTACAGAGGAAGAAACTGCGACAAAGTTAGAGATGAACTAAAATGTCCAAGGTCATGGAGATGATAAGTAATGGAGCTGGGATCGATATTCAGCCCTGGGTCTATAGTGCCTCTACCACAATGTACCATAAATAAAGTTAAACTACACATGGCAGACATAGAAGGTATTTGTAATAAAGATAACTGATAAACACTGAGTAGTCACAATTCATTT